TCAAAGCAGGAAAGGATTCTGCAGACTTAGCTGAAGTTTGCTGTCTTTGTAGTTGGCTAAATCAAATGACAGACAAGGAAATATGAGGAATGGCCTATCACTTTAAAGGGCAAATGCAGCTGGCCTTCCCTAAGCCAAGGAACAAGACAAGGTCTCACTTCAGCCAAGCTCCTGAGAAGAAGCACAGCCTTCCCCATTTCAGCTTTTTAATGAACCAGCCAAGTTCCTAGAGCTCCTTTCTCCCCAGCTCCCTTGTGCAGATGCCATTCCAGTTCACGCAGTGGGAAAGGCAATTAATTAAGTCTGTACAGCTGGCTCAGCCCTGTACCCAGAGCAGGCAACTATGCTCCTTCTTTTATCCAGACACCTCCCCTGCCAAAGTGCAATTGACTTCCCAGTGCAATGCAGAGCTGCCGAGTAGGGCACTGCTGTGGGGGAAGGAAGGGTAAGCAACAGGACAGCCAGGCAGCGTATTGCATTGTTCATCTCTGAGCCCTTGTATTGGAAAGCACGACTATGTAAAACAGTAAAAGCAACACTGACTTGGCTCTTGCCGAGACATATGGTGCAACTGTGCATGGTAAGGGGAAGTACCAGTACCTGAAATCTTCTGGTGCCACAGTGCCAGAAACAAAGGAATGACCTGCCAGTTGGTCCATCTTTAGTTTAAACTAAGGATAAAGCATTCATGAGGGACCTCATAAATTTTCTTCCAGATGAGTTCAGGCAACTCTCCTGGACAGGCCCAGAAAAATATGGTCCCTTCACTACCTTTAACTAAAGCATGAGCTGCCATCCTGAGACTGGAGAGGAAACTCAGTTATTACAACAAAACAACTAAGGATATAAAATAAATGCTCTGAACTCAAGTTCATTCTGCATTGGTCACAGTGATTCACACATCTCCAGAACAGCTGTTCTCTCTGTATTTCAGATATTTTATTTAACAAATACTGCTGATCAACAAGGTGACAGGACAACATTGCTTTGCAGAGATAGCTTGGCACAGTCCATCTATAAACAGAAATGAAACCATACAAGTCTGCAATTATGGATCTGTATCAATTAGCATCAATCTATACCATTCACACTGGGAAGGAGGGAAGATAAATTACACCAGCTTGAAACTGTATCATGGGGGATCTTACTGAGGTCTTGATCTTTAAAGCCAAGGGTATGGTTGCAGGATCAGGGGCTAGGTCACAAGTTGCCAGGTCTGTTCTTAAGAGCCATCTAAGGAAATCCCAGAGTGCTGCAAGATGTGGAGCTGATGACTCAGGCCCAAATTTCCTAATCTGGATGTCTAAACATACACACTTAAACCCATATTTACAGCAGCCAAATAAGTGGTTTGGAGTGTTAGCAGAATTTGCAGGTATTACCAGGCATTACCTGACAGGGGTCGCAACATGAACACCTCTGCTATGGTCCCCAGTAAAATAAGTGGCCTGAGTTTTTCCAGGTTTGAGCAACTGCAGAGCACCTAACAGAAAGTAAGTGTAAGCTTCAGCTACTCAGCCCCTCTGGAAACCATCCCACTTCTTAGGTGCCTACATGTGGAGTTAGTGTCTCAACTTCAGGCATTCAAAAAGGAAAAAAGTCAGCCTCAAGAGACAGCACTCTTAGAGGAGTCACTGCTGAGCCAACAACACTCCAGCATAGTGCTAGGGAGCATAAAACAATGACACTGAGGAGAATTCACCATCAAAGAACTAAACCACCATTAAAGGATCCAACACTGTATTTGCAAGAATAATACCCTGTGTGATTTCTAAATGTCACAACCCAAAGGTGTGATTTTTGTTTTGTGTGTGCTTTGGCACCACTGAATTATGTTCCCGCTAAATTACAGCTTCTTTGCACGGTGGAGTTTTCTGCTGCAGAGGAAAACCCCAGTTTAAAAGAATTCCCGCCAATTTGTAGCTTTCTTTGCAGGGTGCATTTCTTTGTTGCAGCACAGAAATGCACGTTGCAAGGAGTTCCCGCCATTCGTATTCAAATTTGTATTATAATTCGAGCCCCATTATTGGCTTGCGTGAAATTATTCACACGTGGTGGCTAGCGATTGGCTTGCTAGCCGTATAAAAGACTTGAGTGGTTTCCGCCCAAGTTGGAGGACTCCACGAACACCAGGAGGAGGAGACTTCACGCTGTGTGAAGATCTCTAAGCGCTGCAGAGCCTATCGGACCCAGTGCATTTCAAGCAGGCAACAGGGGTCTGATCAGCCTCTAGCCTCTCCCCGTCACCGTTCGCAATCCTCAACGTATCCCTCTCCCTGCGTGCAAAAGGATCCACGGAGCCTCGACAACTCCGTGGGAGTGATCCGAATATTGTCTGAGTCCTCAAACGAGGATTTAAGTGGAGCTGTGCCTGGGAAACTGTCCAGCCTACACCGCGACCATCTCCGGTGTAAGTAAACAATCTTGAATCAACCATTACGCGTCCGTGCCTAATTCCAGCGTGTCACCTGTTCTCTCCGACCCAGTGTGCCCGGGCTGCTGGTCACAGCCCGCGTGGCGCGAAAAAGGGCCCGGATCGCTCCCGGCCCACACACTAAACAAATGAAAGTTTCAATAGATACTTTCCACATAAATCCCTCAATCCCCCCACATAAATCAGGTTCAAATGCAGTCATTCCTCACTTGTCCAATAAAATGTTAAAGTACAGAGTGCTTGTGGCATTGTATCTCAGAGGGGTCTGCATTTCAGTGGTGAATGGCAGATCTCTAGATATAGAGTCTGAAAAGAGATCTGGGGTCTTTCAGGGTAAAAAGCACCATGGGACTCACCTTCATCTTCACCATCAGTAGTGGTGTTAATACCATGAATCCTGAGATGGACAAACACATCTAAATTCCATACAAGATTTGTCTCAAACTATAGCTCATATTTGGCTGCTTGTTCTCTGGGGATTTAAATCCTCTGTCCCTTAGCTGAACTTTCCCTAAATCCAATAAATTAGAGCACAGGCTGAACAATAAGTCACGCAAATCAAGAAATGCTTTGTACTTGGGGCAAGAGAGATTTCAACACATAACTGCATACTTCCTGTACCTTCCAGGATGCCATAATATTTGACAACGGAGGATAAATATCATTAGCCACATTTTACAAATGAGGCACAGAAAGGTGACCAGATCTGTCCACAACACAAATCAAGAGAGGAGCAGGAAATAATATCCAGCTCCCCTGCCTTGCAGCATCTCTGTACTTCAGGCATACACTGTGTCCCATCTGCAAGCCTCAGATACATGTTGGACACTTGTATAATGAGGTACTTTAAGAATGTGAAATTCAGCACTAGCTCATTCTCAGAAGTCACAAATTCCCACGCACAACAGAGGGATTAAGGCAGCATATCATGGAACAGGATGGAAATCAGGTGGCAATATATCCAAGCAAGCAAAAGAAATCTCCACGGAGTACCGGCAGGAGCTACTTCCATTCTGATGGAAACACCATTATACACAGGTTCAATTCAGTTTTCTAGTCCATCTCTTGGGGCTTGAACTGGATTGAAATAGCATGAAGGAACCTCATTTAATAGAAAAGTCCTTTAAAATTCCAACAGAAATGATAACCTTAACATCAAGTTCTACAGAACGACTTAAAAAAATTCTATGGTAAGGGCCACATTTCCTGTAACGTTTTTAGGTTTACAGTATTTTTTTTTAATCAAATACTACTCAATATCCAGAGAAGTATCTAAGTTTAATCTCTCCTAAAATCCACTCTAAACTTTCTGTAAAGAAAAGATGGAAGTTCCTAAATACCCAAATTAACACATACAGAACAAGTCATTATTTTATTTAGGATCTTACAGTACAGCATATTTTAGATGAAAATAAACTAAGCAGGCCATAATTGATCTTAGTAAGATTAGACACAGGAGTCAAAAGTTACCTACCATAGCAAAAATGAGCTGTTTTTTTGAAGGGAACACAGACTGGCACGTAGATCATAGTGTTGGGGTCCTACCCCCCCACTCTGATTCACTGTGACCTTGGCTGAATCACTTACAGCCAGATTCTGACACTATCACTTCTGCTGAGTAGCAACTAAAAGAATCTGAACCTTCACCTCCCTGCAGCTTAGTTTCTCACTATTCAAAGTGGGCACAGTAATGTTTGCCTGCCTTTCCAATCTGCATTGAAACCTTTGCATTTCTATTTAAGCGTAAAACAGCAGGGGGGTTTTAACATTATTTCTTCCCCTCATTTTAGGTAACATCCACACGAGAATCAAGAAACAGGCCCTTTTTAGTTTCAGACGCAACTCTGAAACTAAACTATAGGACTAGGCCCAGACACACATCTCCATATTCCTTTCCAAGCCATGATGAAGGGAGATATCCAGACATGAGAAGTTCAAGATCACTGAAAAAAAAATCACAGAAAAAAACAGTTTAACACTGAACTTCTCTCAGACAGGATATGACCAGGGCTATGGACTTCACTCTGTGTTTTTCTAGCACTAGCACCATGCTGCAACATTTGACCTGCAAGCATGGCAAGAAGGTGTTTATTTGTTTTAAAACCCACAAACCTGTTTCCATTGGAATTAATTTCTTTCTTCATTTAATGGAACAATATTCCTGGCCTTTAGTATTATCAAACATGTTCTTCTTCTACACAACACTGAGACTGGGCCAATTTTACCCTGAGACCCTATGGACCCCTCTGAAAACAAATGTTAATGCTGGAGCCTTTTGCTTGGAGGAACTGACAGCCTGGTTTTGAACTGCCTAGTACGAATGGGAGGGAGAAGGTTGTGCTATGACATGGGATGGCCCTCAGAGACTGACAATGGCAACACTTCAAAAGAGCAGACTCCTGATCCTGATTTCACACCCAAATGCTTCTTCTTAGGATTTCAGCAGTGTGACTGAGACAAGAATCAAGTCCTTGGAGTTCAGGTCTTGTTTTGCTACAAGTTCAAACATTCAGAGTCTTCACAGAAACTCAACTAAATAACATCCAAATAGAATTTGGGCACAAACCTGATAGGAACAGATTTTCAGTCAAAGATAACAGCAGCTGTTGCTGCTCAACCCATTTGGGATGAACACATTGCTTGAAAGTCCTCTGTCTCCTGAAGAAAGTCTCCTCAAGTTAGTTGTATGAGGTTCACAACACAGGCAGGGGTTGAAAGATTACTTCAAGTCTTTTTTAAAGATGCAGACATTTTAGTTACCCCTCAGGAAAAGCTGGCAGGTGATGGAACTGACTGGAGGATGGCTGTAAGACAGGGAATGTGCATCTTTAGTTTGTTCAGATTAAAAGCCAAAAACTGAAAAAAGGTTTGTTAGGGCTCTGGGCCACCTAGGAGCCTTTTCCCTTTTTCTTGGCTCACTGCTTTGTTATAATATCCATGACAGTAAAGGAGTGACTGCCTCCCAGTTTCCAAGTTCTCTAGTTTATTCCCAACTATCTATCTTCAGTTCTCTATCAGCCACTCACACCACCCATTTCCAGAACCTGCTGCATATAGAACCACTCAGTAAGAGAGCTGGAAGGAACCTCAAGGGGTGCTAACGTTTAGCACTTCAAGAAGTCTTTGCTCTCTCTCAGTTTACTATAGTATTTAAGGGATTCTCAGATTGTATCTAGCTTCTCAATTAGACCTGAATTGCAAAATGCTCCTCAGACATTAGAGTTTTCTTTTTAACTCCTGCTGCCAACTGCTGCAGCACTTTGATGAGCATGTGACGTTAAATCAGATTTCATGTCATACCAAGGCTTTTTTTAAATGTACATTAACTGAGTTTAAACATTTGAAATGTATTGTACATTTTTAATGACTTGTGCATTAAAGGCACAAGAACTAACAACAGAACAGAGCTCAAACAGAGAGGAAGTTATTTCCCGACACTCAAGATGTGAAGGACTCAAGTGTGGATAAGGATGTTATGTAAGGCAGACTTTCAGATGTCGCTAAAATACTTTACAATTAAGACTGAATATTAATACATGATTTAAACTAAGAACCACCCGCTATTAAAAGGATTAGGACTTTGCACTGGTGGAGAGGAATGCAAACAATGTCAAAGCCATCGCCTAGGCTGTGATCAAAGGCAGAAGAGGAAGTGGGAAGTGACATCTCTGGGGGGATGGGAAAGACCTTAGTATCACTGCAAAAATCCTATTGAGGTCATGATAAAAAGAATAAAAAGGGGGAGAAACTAGGAATGGAAACTACAGCTTCCTCCTCCTCTCAAGGATGTGCACTCTGAGGTAAGTCTTACCGTGCACAAGGGACCAAACTCAACCCAGTTTACAGCTGTGCTGATTTCCATGGGAACAGCAAAACAGTAAATGAGAGTAAAGTTTGGGTTTAATGCATTTGCCAGATTTGCACCTTATAGACAAAGTAAAGCAGAGATGCATATGCTTTCATAAGCAGAAGCTTGCTGCTTCAGATGTTAACATCAGCGAGCATCAGATGAAGGAAGCTGCAGTTTACAAAAGCTTATGCATCTCTGTTTTACCTAATCTAAAAGGTACAAATCTATCCCATCTTCTGCTTGATTTCAAACTAACACGGTTATCTCTCTTTGCCAGATCTGCCAATCAGACTCAACCCCAGCTCCAACTCACATGCCCAGGCAAAGAGGAGTTAGTGTCAGGGTTTGCAAGTTTAGGCCTAGTTAAGTAGATTGTTTTGTATTATGAGGGTGGTTTAGTTCAGGCTACCCAGAAAGGTTGTGGAATCTCCATCCTTGGATGGTTTTTAAAAGCAGGTAAAACAAACACTTGACTGGAATGTTTTAGTCAGGAATGATGCTGCCTTGAGTAGGGGGTTACTTTAGATCAGCGGTTGGCAATGTTTTTGGCCAGAGTGCCAAAAACACCCCAACTTGGCGTGTCAGAGGCAGATGGTGGGGGAGCTGCGAGGGGCCTGATTCTTGTTGCTGTGGGTGCATGCATGCCTCTGGGCAGAGCGGGATGCGAGAGGAGGGGGCCAGGGTTCTGCTGCCCCGGCCCCTTCCCCACCATGTGCTCCGAGGTGCATGTGCACCTGCCACAGCTGCAGAGCCGGTGTAGCTGTTTGCAGTCTGCCCACCACCTGCTGCAGCTGCCCAGAGCCTGAGCCAGCCATGGCAGGCAGCCATAGTGCTGCAAATAGCTGCACTGGGCTCTGGAGCCCTGGTCCGGCTCTGTCACAGCTGCACATGTGCCTTGGGGGACACACCCAGGAAGGGGCCTGGGGCAGCGCAACTCTGGCCCCTTCCCCACAATCTGCCCCAAGGCGTGTGTGCAGTCACTGCCACAGAGCCCGACTGGGGCTCCAGAGCCTATCCAGAGCCCGGTGCAGCTGTTTGAAGCCTCCCAGATGCTGCCACATCCAGCCCAGGCTCTGGGCAGCTGCTGCCTGCCACAGAGCCTGGGCTGCTCACAGCAGGGCTTGTAGCCTCCCCACCACCTGCTGCAAGATCCTGGGCTCTGTGGCCAGCAGCAGCTGCACACAGCCCAGGCCAGCTGTGGTGTGCCAAGTAAAATGGCCTTGCGTGCCATGCTCTGGCACGTGTGCCAGGGCTTGCCAACCCCTGGTCTAGATGACCGCCTGAGGTCCCTTCCAGCCCTACTTTTCTAAGATTCTATGATGGTGTTTATTTTCTTCTTTAACAAGAAAGAAAGAAGGAAAATATGTTTGGCAGTGTCCAAATTAGCAGAGTATTCACCACTCTGGAGAACCACAACTCTGATAGCCTCAGCTTGTTTTTTACCAGAAAAATACCACTTTGTAACACTTTATAACTGGACAAACAGGACTAAATTCATTTTGTAAATAGTCTCTACAACAATACCATTTCCTATATAGTGTCTCCCACTGCGAAAGGTTATGCCTGAGGCAAGTTCTCTTACAGCTGTTAAGTTGTTTAGCTACCCAGATGTCTGGGGAGGCACCTCATAGAAGCACCTGTTCTGTCAAGAAGAGGCAACTGGACATGCATCACTGAATAAAGAGCATTGCTTCCAAGTCCCTTGTTTTCAGGTTGGTTTCTGAACACTAGGGGCTACATGGAACCGGGTTAAAAAGAAATTTAGATAAAAATTAACTTGAAAGGCAAGTTGCTAAAAGTTCCATTAGAACTGGAAGTCTCTGGAAAAATGGAAGACAACTGGAAGAGATGGAAAGAGTACTTCACTATCTACAAGAAATAGACGCCAGTAAAAGGAAGACTATTAAGGAGCAGCTCTTTTTTATCATAGAAAGCTCTGATGCATTAATGTGCTTAACAGTTTTTCAATTAATGAAGGCAGAGTAGACTCACTAAGAAACTTTATTATAAGAATGTGAAGAATGCTGGACTCCATGTAAATATGAAACACTAGAGACATGAAACGAGAGAGATCATAGAAGCATAGAAAATGAGGGGTAGAAGGGACTTCAGGAGGTCATTTAGTCCAACACCCTGCTCAAAGCATAACTGTCCCCAATATACCATGCCAGCCAATGCTTTGTATATTTGGATCTTAAAAACCTCCAAGGATGGAGATTTTACAACCTCTAGGTAACCTGTTCCAGTGCTTTACTACCCACCTAGTGAGAAAGTTCTTCCTCATATCTCATCTAAACTTCCCTTGCTACAACTCGAGACCATTGCTCCTTGTTTTCTCACCTGCCACCACTGAAGAACAGTCCAGCTCCATCCTCTATGGAACCTCCCTTCAGGTCGTGGCGGGCTACTATTAAATCCCCCATCTTCTCTTCTTCAGACTAAATAAGCCCAGTTCCCTCAGCCTCTCCTCATAAGTCTTGTCCCCCAGCCCCTAAACCATTTTCATTGCCCTCCACTGGACTCTCTCCAATTTGTCTATATCCTTTCTGCAGGGGAGGGGTGGGACTGGGGGGTGGTCCAAAACTGGACACAGTACTCCAAATGTGCCCTCACCAGTGCTGAAGAGAGGAGAAGAATCACTTTGCTCAGTCTGCTGGCAACACTCCTACTAAGGCAGCCCAGTATGCCATTAGTCTTCTTGGCAATAAGGGCATACTGTTGACTCATATCCAGCTTACTGTCCATTGCAACTCCCAGCTCCTTTTCTGCAGAGCTTCTGCTTAGCCAGTTGGTCCCCAGCCTGTACTGGTGCATGGGACTGTTCCATCCTAAGTGCAGGACTTTGCACTTGTCCTTACTGAACCTCATGAGGTTTCTTTTGGATCAATCCTCCAATTTATTGAGGTCTCTCCGAATCCTACCCCAGCCCTCCAGCGTATCTACTCCTCCCAGCTTCATGTCATCTGCAAACTTGCTGAGGGTGCACTCTATGCCATCCCCCAAGTTGGTGATGAAGATATTGAACAAAACCAGACCCAGAACCAAACCCTGATGCACTCCATTTGACACCAGCTGCCAGCTAGATATTGAGCCATTCACTACTATCCTCTGAGCCCAATTATGCAGCCAGTTTTCTATCTACTTATAGAACATTCATCCAACCCATACTTCCTTAGCTTGCTTGCGAGAACCTTGTGGGAGACCATATCAAAAGCCTCGCTAAAGTCAGGGTATATTATGTCCATTGCTCTTCCCATATCCACAGAGCCAGTCATCTCATCATAGAAGACAATCGGGTAGGCAGGAATGATTTGCCCTTGGTGGATCCATGCTGACTGTTTCTAATCTCCTTCTTTCCTTCCAAGTGCTTAGAAATTGATTCCTTGAGGACCTGGTCCATGATTTTTCCAGGGACTGAGGTAAGGATGATCTATCCATAGTTTCCCAGATCCTCCTTCTTCCATTTCTTAAAGATGGGCACTATTATTTGCCCTTTTCCAATTCTCTGGGACCTCTCCTGAAAACCATGAGGTTTCAAAGACGATGGCCAGTGACTCTGCAATCACATTGGCCAACTCTCACAACACCCTCAGGTGCATCAAGTCCAGCCCCACCGACTTGTAGACATCCAGATTTTCCATATAGTTCTTAGCCTGTTCTTTTGCCACTGTTGGCTTCTCAACTCCTCCCCAGATTGTGCTGCCAGGTACAGTAGTCTGGGAGCTGACCTTGCCTGTAAAGACTGAGATGATAAAAGCATTGAGTACTTCAGCCTTTTCTGCATCCTCTGTCATTAGGCTGCCTCCCCAATTTAGTAATGGACCCACATTTTCCCTAATCTTCCTCTTGTTGCTGACATTTTTATAGAAACTCTTCTTGCTACCCCTTTATGTTCCTTGCTAGCTGAAAATCCAATTGCTCTTTGGCCTTCCTGATTTCATCCCTGCATGTCCAAGCAATACTCTTATACCCTCCCTAGTTGTTTGCCCAAGTTTCCACTTTTTACATGCTTCCTTTTTGTGTTTTAACTCACTGAAGAAGTCCCCAGCTAAGCCAAGCTTGACTACTGCCATACTTGCTCATTTGTCTGCACATCAGGGTGGTTTGTTCCTGCACTCTCAGTAAAGTTTCTTTAAAGTACAGCTAGCTCTCCTGGACTCCTTTCCCCCTCAGACTGGCCTCCCAGGGGATCCTGCCTGTAATGGATGAAGGCATAGATTTATTTACACAGACTGATTCTTGCTTTCCTGAGATGGCTTTACTAGAATCTACAACAGCTAAGGAGACAATAGTGCACGTCAAACCCATCTTTGCTACAGATGTTATACCTCACATGCTAATAGTCTCAAAATGAGGTTCTATGTAGTAGATATGATTTTAAGCAGTTTGCAGTGAAGTTTGAGTTTAGACATGTTACTGTGGGTCCCAATTAACCAATGGGTTAGTGGAAAATAGTGTTAGAGACAGCTACTGAAAATGCTGAAGGATCAGACTCTCATATGTGCTTAGCACTGTTAAGTTACTGACAGCACTAATGAAACGTAGTTTGCCACGCCTGCAGACATTTTATTTAACAAAAAAAATCGAGAGCTGGAATGTCTGTAATAATGACAGAAACTGGGGTTAGGGGAACTGGGGACTTGCAGAAGTATGAAGGGATGGATACAGATAAACAAGCAACAATGCATTTAGAAGTGTCAAGGGCTACTAGCCTTCATGAATATGATGCAGTACATATGGGATACAATGGTCGCAAATAACTCATGGCCCTATTAAATTGTCCTTACAGGCCAACATTTGCAGAGGAGGAACAGGCAACACTCTCTTATCTTCTCACATCTGGAAAGAGAAGAGGAACCAAGTTTGCCTTTCTGCCTGATCAACCTGGCAAAAATCTTAACTAGGCAACAACCACAGCAAGCTAAAATAATTTAACCTGGACATAAACTTGCCCAAACACAGGGTCTTACTGCCTTCTAACAGACAACCTGAAAGCATAACTGACCATGCAACATACATCAGATTAACTAAAAATTGTTAGTAAGCTCAGTTAGCAGCTTGGTTATAAATACTTAGAACTATGTCACGGCACTACTTTTTTTTAAATGTATTGTGTTTTGCCTGGAAAGGAAGGTGTACTATTGGGAATTGTACCTTTAAATGGTTTAGCTTCTCTGATGCAGGAACTCTGGCAGAGAGGTGCTGCAGGAACATATTTGCTAAGCAGAGGTAGCTGGAACTACATCACTGAATAAAGATCATTTTCAAGCACTGTCCTCTACAGGGATTGCTGCTGATGGGACAGCCTGGGCCTGGAATAAATAATGATACTCCTTCCCTTGCAGCAACTAATGTCCTGTTTACAGACAGAAAAATGGAGGCTCAGTGAAGGGATGGGACCCTCATCAATGATTTAATGGGACAGAATGAAACAGAAGCCAGATTTGTTGATTCTATGTACCAGGCTTTTATCACTAACCTTGTATAATAGCCAATGCTACTCCCCTATTTTCTAGAGATCCCTGTCATGAAAGTCTAGGGCAGGGGTAGGCAATGTTCTTTGGCTGGAGTGCCAAAAAACACCACAATGTCTACCTCAGAAGGTGCCGGAGTGCCAGCATGGCAGAAAAACAAAATGTGCTGCCCCTTGCCCCTGCCCCCCAGCCCTGCCACCCCATCCCTCCCCATCCAAAGCCCCTGCCCCCAAGCCCTACTGCTCCTTCCCCCCACCCAAAGCCCCTGTCCCACAGCCCTCAAATAGCAATTTTCCAGCCTGTGCTACCCCACTGTTCACCCTGAGGTACACACACAGTTGCCGCCCGCACGGAGCTGATGCTGGAGCTGTGGAGCCCGGCACAGCTGTTTGCAGCCTGCCCGCTGCTTGCTGCAGCTGCCCAGAGCCCAGGCTGGCTACAAACAGCTGCGTCGGGCTCATCACCTCTGTGCCTGGAGCCGGGGAGACCGGGGCTGCGCTGCCTCAGGCCCCTCCCCCACTGCCCACTCCGAGGCGTGCCTGCACATGCTGGTGCGGAGCTGATGCTGGAGCCTGGCACAGCTGTTTGTAGCCTCCCAGCTGCAGCCAGCCCCGGCTCTGAGAAGCTGCTGCCAGCCGGGATCCTGGGCTGCTCCCAGCAGGCAGCTGGGACACTGCAAGCCCTGCTGGGAGCAGCCCGGGCTCCGTCATTGGCAGCAGCAACCCGGAGCTGGGGCTGGCCACGGCATGCCAAGCAGAATGGCTTCACGTGCCACATTCAGCACGTGTGCCAGAAGTTGCCGACCTCTGGTCTAGGGCCAGGAAAGATGCACTCTTTTCTAAAGCCAACCAGCTCTCCAGTGCCATTCCTGCGAGCACATCCTGATGGCTATTTTATTTCTGTATCCAGCTGCAATAGAAATATTGATATGGCAGGGGAAAGGGACACCAGATAAACCTTGGAACAGCAGATCTTTGATGTGCACTGCTGCAAGTGAACAGCCAAAAAGACACAGAATCATCCACAAGAAGCTCCTAAACAAAGAAAGGGAATACATCTCCCTTAGAGAGGGGGATTACTGGAATGTAACGAAAACAAGTCCTGTTCCTCCTTCCCTGCATATGCGTACACCCTGGAGGGCTTTTGCAAAGCCACAGAAACGGAAATAATTTAGTCTGAATCCATCAAGCATTAAAATCCTTTCGCTGAGGGATTGAAGTGAAAAATGAGCCGTAGACAGGAATTAGAAGCTCTCCGCCTGGGCTGTCAAAAGGGATTTTCCCCAGATAGAAAACAAGCAACTGGAATTGCAGGGAGGTAAATCCATCCTGAGCCTCTGACATATACACGTACTCTCAGTATCTCCTCTCTGGCCCTGACAGCTCTGGAACCATGGAGGTAGACCTGGAGGCAACTCACAGTTGGCTCTTGTTCTCTGGCCTCCTAGCCTTGAAGGAGGCTGTTACAGCCCAGGGCTTCCATGAAGAGTGTTAGCAGGTGAAGGAGAGCTAGTGAGACATTCAAGGGGCCATGGATGCAGGATGTACTTAGCCTGATATGGTGAGGAAAGTGTCAGCTGGTGCCTGAGGTAGAGAAGAGGAAGAGGGTACAGTAGATGTTGAAAAGGATTACCTTGTGACCAAGACCCCTAAACAACTCCAGGTATCTCCTTATGGCTTACATCAAATGAGTTGGGGAATGAAAGAGCTAACAATGTTGTTATTTGACTTACCATCTCTAAGTATCTGAACAAATTCCTCATGGGGATAAGAGCTGATCTGTATCTTTAGAAATATTATTTCAGGCTCTCTCCAGACTCATGTACACACTGCTATACCAAACACAATTTTTTTGAACTGTAACTATAATCTTTGCAACCACAATAGCCAGAGACTTACTTAAAAATGTGGAGAACAATGTAGTAGCTTGAGCGATTACCAGTCTGCCACTCCACTGCGTATGGCTCAACTCAAGCCCTAGTCACCGACAAATACAAGGTCTCTCTCATACTTCTGCTGGATGCGATGCAGCTGGATCTTGGCAAAGGAATGATTCCCACAGCATCACTGCTTGGTTTTAGGCAATGGAGATCATGAACGCCACGTGCCCCTGGAGGCTAGCGGGGCACGGCGAGATCCTACTGTCAGCGGTGGTGCTGTCAGCGGCAGGAGCATGGCAGCGGCGAGTGGGGAGCTCCCGTGGCACTGTTGGCAGTGGGGGGAGGGGGTGGTGAGCACCCACTGATCGTCAGTGATCACCTGCAGACGCTGCTGGCAGTGTTGGCTGGGGCCAGTGGCAATTGCGGACCACCCACAGACATCACCGGTGGTGTCGGGGGGGGCAGGAATATGATGATATGGTGACTGCCTGCAGGCGCTGCCGGCAGTGTTGGTGGCATCGTTTTGCAGGCGGTGCACATGCACCCCCTACACGGCACCAATGGCGTAGATTATTCATACAGTAAACCAATATGAAAACAGGGGCAAGTTAGTTATTTATGCCATGGCTTCTGTGCCCATGAACAAAATACATGGCAAACAGAGCTAATTAGGCTATAAGCTCCTGGGTGCAGCAATTGAGGGCAGCCAGATGAACAGGGAGCAGATGGTCTGTTGGTAATGGTTAGGCAGATGCTGGGTGGCCAAGGAGAGGTGCTGCTACTTCACACTGATCATATACAGGTGGGAAGTAGTGATCTGGTTAGTGGGAGTAGGGCTAGGTGCAAAGAATTAGAAAGGTAAAATGAAAGGAAGGCCTCAGGTGACGGGTGCTACAGAACCAACTGTGAGGTGCACAATCTGGGAGGAGGTGGTGAATGACAGGAACCAGGTAACCCTTTGGTCATTAAGTTGTTTTCAGCACACATGCTGGTTTGAGGATACAGTGGGTACACACACTGAACGCAGGGGAAACAGGAACTCATTGAGTTGATGAGTCCTTGACTTCAAATGCAACTCTGAGGATAAACAACTCCAAACCGTTTGCTGTAATGCAACATTTAAGAATCCTGAAACATTCTCAGATGTTCCAAGATGAGATCACAGAAGTACCTACATCTAAGCAGGCAGGTGTTTATAGAAAATATTTCTCTTGAACATGCTATCTTTTGCTATTGTGTGAGGTAATTCCATATTATTTTATGGCTCTCCAGCAATAATACAACCACTTAGTGGTGCTTTTCATTCATGGATCTCAGTGTGCTTAGAAAGGTGGGTATCATTGTCTGCATTTTACATATGGAGAGAGTGAGGTAAAGAGATACAGGGAGTCTGTGGCAAGGTCAGGAAAATAACCTGGGAGTCCCATAAATTATGGTATTAGTGCCAATACAAGGGAAAGCTGAGAAGGTTTTGGAGAGGTTTGTTGTTCGTAAAAAGATTGTTTAACGGGAGAAGTTTGCCTCCACCACAAGCCAGGGATAGAGAAAGAGACGGGCTGTGGAGAGGATGCTGTGGTCATGGAACAAAAGAAATCTAGACTGGGAGCCAGAATCTGCTTGGTGCACACTGCTGATATTTATTGTATCCTCTTCTCTCTTTGGGGACCTAAAAAAATTCCCTGAGAAGGCACAAGAACAGCCATGGGGAACTGGGCAAGGGGTGTGAGAGAGAGGGCTGGCTGAGGTCAGCTGCCAGCTGGGTAGCTCTGGGGTACTGTAGTGTTTATATTTGTAAGTGAAAAATCCCCCCTCCCTCCCCTATGCTGAAGATGCTGCTGCACTGAACCTGAAAGGGCTGGTTATAAATAGCTTCTCCCTGCAGCTCCTGAATGAGCCAGTGAAGCAGAATGAGTCATCTCTGCCTGCTCTCTGCGACTCCCCCCAAACCAGCTGTGTTAGGTTAAGAGTAAGGCTGCCAGAAGCAATGGCACATGCTGTTCTCCCTCAAAGGGCAGCAGCCTTGGGGGACAAGGAGACTAAACAAACCAGCTCCTACCCTTTACCCATGTGCTTCAAAAAGCCTTGTTTTCCAATGAGTTACATTCCTGCCACATCTGGCAGGAGTGTTTACAGGCAGACATGGCCCCTTCTGTCCACCCGATCTCCTCTCCTTGCCTGGCTTATAAAAGGAGCTTGTAGCCCATTTGCCTCTATGTGGTAGAGAGAATGGGGTACCTAATAGGAGCAAATCCTTTCTTCTTCTGTTTGCCAAAACCTGGGGGAGTAGGAACAGATAATGGGCACAACAGCACAGGAGACCTGCCGCACGCCTCACTTCCAAGCGTTGCTTCTGCATTTCTTCCAGGGGATGAGAATTAGAATAGGAGCCAAGGCCACATGTGAGATCTGCTAGTACTCACTGGGGGAACCAGGCCATGCATTGCCTCCTTTTCTGGTCAGAGTGTACGGGACTGGCAGCGAGTTGTTACCTTTTCCTCCAGTCCTGCCACTGGAGAAGAAAATATGATTGCCTTCATGTAAGCTCCAGAGCTGGAATGAGATTTTAAGCCACCAAATAAGAGGGACCCCAGAAGCAACCTGCTTTGCTTATGTAGGCCTTGTTTGGGAAAAAATAGAGTCTGAGGCAGCATCTCCTCCAAGCGCAAGGCAACGACAGTTGATGATCCCTGACCTGTAGGACAAACAAGGCCCAGGAAGCAAACGAGAGATTGAAAGCCGCAGCCTAGAAATGGGGGCGGGGGGGACTAACCACAGGGTCTGCCTCAGAGAATTCAGAGGGAAATTTACAGTTGGGACAAGACAGTGCAGGGAACACAATGGGATAACAAGAAGGAAGAGACTACCACGGAGGGTGGGGATAGAAACCTGGTGCTGTGGGAGGACAGATAGGGTCTGGGAAGCAAACAGCACTAGTGTGAAAGGAGCTGGACTCCGAAGCGGAAAGGGAGGGAACCATCTGAAGTGATGTGAATAAGGACATTGGCTCTGTTTTCCACATATTTCCTGTGATGGCAGTGACAGGAGCACATACGAGCAGTGTGTGAAAAAGCAAGCCCTGTAGGATGCAGAGTGAGGCCCGGGGGACATGCTGTTCCTTTCCAAAGCTTTGCTAGTGGTCTTCAAGGTGTACTGAACCAATGGAGCAAAGACAGAAAGCTCATAGGTCTAGTCATGGTTTGACAAAAAAAAGAAATACA